TGCCGAACGCTAAAGCCCAGCAGCGTGTGCCCGCTTCTGTCCGGTCTGATTAAATTGCACGGCTGACCGTGAACTTGGCGTAGACCGCCGGTCTGAGTCGCACCTAGGAGATGGTGCTGCAGCCTGTTCCCTCTCATCCTGTTTAATCTGAAGTGACGGTCTGGGAATCGGGGCAGACGCGAAGACTGTGCCGGGCCGGGCCCAGGGGCAGCGTGGTAACGATGCTCTGCAGGGGTCTGCAGTCTCTTCAGCTGCCAGAGGGTGAAGCCCACCCAGAAACGTGGCTCAGAGAAAGCAGACCCTAACACTGGCCAGCGCTGACTAGATTAATCCCACGTGAACTGGAAAAATAAAGAGGCAACAGATCAACTGTTTACTGTAACTGTTGCTAACTTTGCACTTCCCTAAGGCACTTGGGGCCAGAAACCAGAGGAGTGCTGACTGGCCTGAGATAAGGGGAAATTCCCAGAGATCGCCCTGGGACCGCACGGTTAGAAAGGCCATTGGTGGTTTATACTGGCAATCTAGTTTAGAGGGCACTAGCTGAAAGTGTGCTGGAAGGGGACGTAGGTGGTAACGAGGCACCAGGACTAAGCCAGGCCAGCGGCCGGGACCTCACGCACCAAGTGTGCTCACCATAGATTAGAAACTGGTATGGACCCACCATCCTCACCCTGCTTAGTAAATCCGTCTGCAATTACGTCACCGAGCGGTGTGATGCTGTTCTCGCAGCCACCCCGCCCCTACCTTCACCTGTGCTATTAGGACAATGAAAACCAGTCACGGGAGGATGCACATATGAGTTGTTTACACAGCTGCAAAATACAACTACAGTACCAGGAGATAACTGTGAAAAAGAACACCAGGTGGCAGAGAAAACTGAATACTGTACTAGTTTGTGTGACAGCATCTGAAACGGGATTTAATTCAACCAGAAGACATGTAGAGACAGCTTATCTATGCAGATTTATTTCAGCACAAGAAGAAACGAGAGCATTCACGTGATTAATACCCCCATGCAACTGGCTACAGCAGCTGTTGTCCCTATCCAAGACCACTGTTGCTTGTTGCAATTGCTGGTGGAGGAGTCTTGTGTCGGTGTTGCTGCTTGAAAAAGTGGTGGTAATCACGAAGGCTTCCTTTCTATATAAACACGTACAAAGTTCAAGGACGAGTGGAGTATTCCGGACAACAAAAGCATTACCCCCATTCACAGCTGCAAGAACGTTATCAATACGGGGCAAACGAGTCCCAGTCCTGCCCGCTCCAACGCTTCCTAAGAAGCAGCTCCACAATTCAAGTGATAGGGCAAGCAAGGAGCAGCAGCAAGAAAAGTACCCGAGATGAGAGGAGAGGTAACGTTGAGGCGTGCCAGCTTCAAAATCTCCTGCTACATCTGCCCTAACACACCAGGTGGTGCCCAGGCCCCTTACACCTTCTTAGTATAGTGCACATATGAGACTTTTTTTGCTAGTTAGCCCCTTAAGAAAATTAACAATATTCTTCTGTATAGAGTTTCCCCTCCTTCACCAGCTCCATTCTACCCCTGCTTAGGGACTACCATCACCTGTTGTTCCTCCTGCCACCACCCGCATCGACACTCGAGGCCTCGAACGACATTCCCGCGTGCTCATGTTTCCAGTAGCTCAGCGCAAAGACCCTTAACCCAGCGCTACACAGAGCCTTCGCACTTCACCTGAAGACGACATGAAGACAGCTGCATCGAGGCCAGCATGCCCTACAGCACAGGCTATGTCCTCTATCACGTCTGCTCCCACACACTTCTACTAAGAAGAAACAATTCTTTGTACGTTCAAAATTTTCCACGTACACCTCCTGGCTTATGGCACACAGTCACAATTGATCCCACTTGAGGTGATCCCATAGCTATCAATACCCAAGTCAGACACTGCGCTAATCCCTCTGACCGTAGGTAGCAAAGACGAGATTGAGACTTTACCTCGGGCAGATCCCAAGCCTCAAAACACGCGTGCCTCACTTTTGATCGTAGGCTGCGCGCGCAGAGGAAGGAACCCCACGCTAGCCAACCAAGCGCTCAGCAGTTGCCTCAACAGTTCGCTACTTTATCAAGCGGAGGTTAAGTTTCTGCTGACTTGAAAACAGGAAGTCAGTGTTCTCCTCATGGAATCCTGACAGGAGAACCAATGTATTTTTTTCTTCCTAATCTCATGGAACACTGTGTAGAACGAGTGTGTGTAGATTAGTAGAATACAGCACCAGGGACTACAAAAGGAACCAAAGAGTCACAAGATTTTATTATAATCTAAGGCACTGAAGTATGTGCTTCAGGTTCCTACCTCCTAAGTTTAAATATTTCTGACAATTCCTCAAAACACATATAACAAATTATTCCTAGTACTATTAAAAGAAAAAGCATAGATGATTTTTTTTTCAGACAGACCCTTGTTCAAAGTGAAATGTTAAAAAATATCAGGCTATACAGAGGAGACGTTACTTACTAATAAAAAACAAGAGCTCACCTCTTGGGAAGAAGCCTGGAGGAAGGGATCCATTGTTAACATGGCAGTGGTTTCATAGACTAAGCAAGAAGTCTAAATATCAAGTAGCAGAAGCTCTTTATGCTTCCATAAAGAAGCTGTAAACATACTAAACAAACAGAAAAAGCATGCAAACTAGTGCTATGGTCATAGATCTGACCATAAATTTCTTCTTAGAATGTATAATCGTAAGGAAAAAGGATAACAGAAAAAAAAGTCCAGTATTTTCTTCATATACATATTTACATTACAAACTCTTCACTGTATTACTAAACATTAATGTTGATTTAAATGATCCATGCCAGAATGATCCATGCCAGCAAACTCAATATAAGCTTATCTTCCACTCCGTATAAATAAAAATTTCCATTTCCGAGATCTTAATGCGCCAAAAATCCAAATATAATGACAATTCCTTCTTTATTAAATCTACCTGTATGCGAATCTACCAAGAATACCAGCCTAAAGAGGCCCAACATCACGACTGAGAGTTGTTTACCACGTGCCATAGAAATGACCAATGCAGCGATGGAGACCCAGTTACTATACAGTATTTATTCTAAGCAGCAGTTCTAATACATATTGAGATAATGGATAGTATATATACAGGGAATGATCATAATACACAGATCTTACATTGTATTTACAAAATTTTAAATCCTCAACGATGCGACCACCTGACAGCATGAAATAATATTGCTCTTAAATGCACACAGTTAACTGTATTCCTTTTGTAAACTTTGCAAAAATCCAACCATTATGAAGTTCTCTGATGAAAACATACATTTAAAAGACCATATTTAAAAAAGGCTAACATGCCTGCATTTCTGATACTTCACACAGTCTTAAGCAGTGCAGGATTTTCTTCCCCTGCTTTTGCACATTAGCAGTGGCTGGCTAGAACATTGAAGAAGTGAAAAACTTCATCTTTATCCATTACTGCCACTTCAGTTGAGCACTCAGCACATAACACTGGATGATACACTTCCTCCTCTTCTTGATTTGATTGTATAGAGGCACTTTCTTTGCTGTGTTTCATTTTCTTAGTTCTTTTCTTTGGCTTCTTTCTGTATTTCAGAATTTCCTCTTTGTTAACAACGCAATTCATCACAAACATTGCTCTATATTGTGTTTTGTAAGATTCGTGTCTGTGGAGAAGGGGAGAAAATGCAAGTCATACCATTGGTAAAACTCTGCTTCCAAGAAATTGGTTATCATCACTGGAAATGGGATTAAAGATAGGAAGTACCATGCCAAAGGGCTGGAAGCCAAATAAATAGGAAGTTTTAAAAACAGAACAAAAGTCACAACTACAAAAATCATAAAAAAAATAGAATTGTAGCCAGCTGTCTTGTTTTTAAGGTGTTCTTAAAAACACACTGGTTCTTGCTGAAATAAACACCCTGGACTACAATGGTATTGGTAGTACAGAATTATGCATTGCTACATATAGCTGATGATAGGCAAAAGCTAATGAAGCTGTGAGTGCAAATGACTCAAATACTGGCATTTATATCCTAAAATGTCTTACAAGCCTGAAATTTCTTATTTATAAATAGCGAACATTGACACATCACACTTGAAAAAGCTTGTCTTTTCAGCTGTCATCAGTATAACAACTTGTTTGTATTTTCAGCTGTCATCAGTACAACAGCTGTATAGCTGGAGTATGAAGCAAAATTCCGGGCTGCGGTTCAGTTCAATTCAACACAGTGTCCCTCAGGCTGCAGTTTTACAGCAGCCTAAACCAACCTAACAGGTGGCCACGGAAGTCCTATCTCGACTTCTGCTGGCTTTACTGCTTGTATAATTCTGTGCTGAGCTATTTCACTTTATTAAAACCACAAAAGACCAGTCTGACAATAAAAACAGAGAGTTTGCAGTCAGCTTAGCAAACGGAGATACTTAACTATAGAACAGGGTCACGGAATACCATAGCCAGCAAAGGGAAGAGAGTAAGAAAGAGCACCCAGTACTTAGATGATTTTAGGCTGCTGTGGAATTTCATCCTCAATCGCTGCAAGTACTCAATAAACCAGAGGTAGTTTATTCCTCATTTCACAAGATTTCTTTCTCCTTTACTCCCAGTTCAAGAGTCCTCTCAGCACAGGTTAGCAGTACTAAGTAGGCTTGCAGTGCAGTCAGATACTGGAGAGCAGCAAAACACACTACGGATTCTCACCCAAATGCTTTCCAGATGCTTTTTAATATAACTGTATTCAAAATCACAACTGCTAAGGCTCAAACCAAGTAAGAATACACTATCTTGATTTTGCTTAATCCTCCCCTAAACAAGGCACTTTCATACAAAAATAATAGTTAACCCAGAATAATTCTATGCCTCTAAACATCAAGCCAACATATTTAAAAAAAACAACAAAACAAACAAGAAAACCACCACCCACAACTCACTCTGAACTTCTTGTTTAGTCTTCATGAAACCTATTTTTTTTTTATGGTTTACCTTTCTGCTATGCTAAAGTTCTACCTTGTTCTTCCTCATCTCCGTGTTGCAGGTTAAGCTCATCATCATTCTTACAAACTAGCATTCACCCCTAAATCTGATTCACATATACCTGCCTTCTCTTTTATTAGCTCCACCTCGCAAGACAGACTTGATCAAATCAACTGATCAAATTGAATACACTAAAAATACAACTGACCAAAAAGAAAAAAAGACATTACACAAAGACCCCTTATTGTTCACCAGTTACCTCTGACAGTCCAGGCATAACGTTGTCATGCAAGCAGGGCAATTCAAAACAGCATCACTATTTGGAACAGCTGAAGGTTTTCTTTGCTGCTGCGGTGGCGCTCTTCTCTGATTACGGTACCTACCAATTCAAGAAAGGAGGAGGAAGAGACAAAAAGTGAAATTACGTGCCCTTGTTGTCAGATATATCAATTCAACCTCCAAACCTTTTTTATATTAAAATACACCAATAAATATTTGGCTCCTTCTGGACACCTTTTTCACTGACTCGAACCACATAAATAAATACACTGGAGGAAAAAACACATACCAGTATCTTCATTTACTTTGTACAGAGGGTTCTTATTTGGTGAAACAAATATATCTAGCATAAGAATTTGTGCCTAGTAACCCTCTCCTCTGACGAGGCAGTTGTCTCAAGTGCAGTCTCTGCCGGCAACATACATTAATGTTATCCTTTTCAACAGATTTATATGGAGAATTTTACTTCTGCTGCAGCAACCATTTTTCTACTTCACCTGTCAAAACACTCGCAGTAAAGCAGCTTTGTGCTGTATAATCTGAACATTTTGTGGCTTGCTAAATTCAAAGTTTTCCAAAACCATAAATACAATATTTAGCAGGAACAGATATTAATTTAGCAATCAAAGTATCGTAGGGCATTAAAAACTGAAATCAGCAAATCTTACAACCTTTTCATCCACAATATGGCTGTTTAGATGAGATCTACAGAAAAAACTGGCTTACCGAACTAGGAAGTTTTGATTTGCAAAAATTGCAAGTTTTAGAATTGTGTCATTTTGAAGACTCAACTTCCATTACATACACGTAAAAATTTTACAGGCTTCTAAATTTCTACGTTGTAAATTCTAAAAAAAAAAAAATTTCATTACATAGACTTGACAGCATAGGCTTTTTCTCTCTATTCACCATTTTCCTTTAATTTTTTCGTTTTATGTTAAGCATCCTACAATTCAAATATTTATGGTCTCTTACCCCCTCCTCTGTGAGTCTACCCACTCTTGGTCTCGACTGTCTTCTTCTGGGTCATATAGCAGTTCATCATTGGAAAGAATCCGACGTTGCTGATGTTTTCTGTTTTTCCAGACGTCCTGTGTAACTGAAAAGATTTGTGCAAGCACGTTACATCCATCAGACATATGATGACTGTCTGCTTGAATAATCAAAATATCAGTTTTTTGGTTTTTCTTTTCCATACTCGCAATTAATCTAAATTAAAACATAAAGGTCTAGCTCATCTCTGCTCCAAACGCACCACCCCAAAGCATTAACGCACCTTACATACATTGGGATACATCACAAAGCTGCAGGAACTACATTGAGATGATATAGGCTGGTAATTCCCCCCAAAAGGCTGCCTTCAGGAA